GCTGGCTTTGAATGACTCCACAGATCGCTGAGAAGGCTCTTGGGTTCTGAGATCACATCACCTACGTTCAAATTCCAAGTTCAAATCCCAAATTGTCTGCTTCACTTTATCACCGTAAGCAACTACGTGCTTCATTTATTTTTCCGTGCTCCTGTTCTTCCGTCGCTGTAAAATGAGAATAATAATACCACCACAAGGCTATTGTGAGGACTGCACAGATCTCAGTGTGGAAGAGAGCTGTCAAACCCACCATTGCTATTATTACCCCGTTATTTCCAGGGGAGGTTTGTGCATACGTGTCTGCAGAGCAGACGGGTTCCCTTCCACGTTTTCTAAGATTCTTAACTCTTCCCCCTTGACCACCCCCAGAGTATCCAAAATGTCCCCTCAGCTGCCCCAGACTTCTAAGAAGCTTTGTATTTCTCCTTCCATTTGCAGTGGCAACTTCGACTGTGGAGTTCCCGACTGACACAACAGGGTGTGATCTCGGTTTCACCTAGCTGGCAGTTGAGGCTTGGGGCAGTTTCCTGAGGTCATGTAGCAGGTAAGCAGTGGCCAAGCTCTGGACCTGGAGTGTCCCTCCCACCGTTTCATGGTTTGTACTGCCAGACAGGAGTGCAGCGGGGGATTGGGGGAGTTAGTGGCAGCTTGGGTCAAAGAAGGTGGCTCCTTCTTTGAAAGAAATTCAGGACTGCTGTTCCTCTCCCCCAAAGGGGACCCTGTAACCAACTCAGTCCCCTACCCCTGGGCTCTGCCTCAAGAGCTGCAGCCCCGAGACAAGGGAACTGGGCAGTTCTCAGCCTTGGATATTTGTTCCTCCAAGCATTCGTTCAGTCACCCATTCAAGGGATATTTTCTGAGCAGTGCTGTAGGCCAAGTCCTGTGTCCCGCACCATGGAAACAGTGGTCTCCAGTTTGCATTGTAGCAGGCAAACAGACAATAGCACAGTAAATTCACGTGCATGTGGGAGATGCTGTCAGATCTTGATGAGTGCTATGGAGGAGGGGTCATGTGTGACAAAGGGAGCTGGAGTGGTGAATGAAGTCCTCCCTGAGGAAGAGACACCCAGTGCCCAGGCTGAGAAAGAAAGATTTTCTTGCTACCTTCCCTGTCCTGGGAAGGATATACCTGCTTGGGGTAGGAGGCTGCCTGGGAGAAGAAAGAAAAGTGTAGTTAAGGATGTACCTGCCAGGGTTGGGGGCACAGGATGTGCAGAAATGGCTTCACAGCCCCCACCATTCCCCCTGTTGAATGCAGTAGAGTGACCAGGCTAAAGAGACACCCTTGGCTTGTTAAGAGACCTCATGAGAGGCAGACAGCAAGCCAGGGGAGCCTTAACTGAGGAGCAGAAGCCAGGGTTAGAGCCAGGCTTCAGTGCCTTCCATGTGGCAGCTGGGGCAGGGGTGGGGGTGAGTGTAGGGATGGCCAGATGGGCAAATGGATGAACAAATAATTTAACACAGACAGAAATAATCAGCTACACCTATCAGCATTTTCCCCAGCAAGGTGTGTTGGAAGGGACCCAGGAGATGGGGCCAGTGGAGATTAGTCTCTGGAAGGTTTCAGGTCACACTCTTAAACGACTGGTCCAGAATACCATCACAGGGACACAGCAAACCCCACAGACATCTCATTCTTCCTCAGTCCATTCTTAAGGTTAAATGCAGACAGGAGACAGCCTCATTCCCAGGTGTCAGGGCAAGACAGGAGAAAGCCTGGTGAGGGCATCCAATATGTGCCCAAGCGCTAGAGGTTAGAATGGGAGGGGGCATCGAAAGGTTGAATGAGGTAGCAATTACAGGCCATCAAAGCTCAGGGTGGGTGAAACACAGCTTGCTGAGATGGGACCAATCATTACACTGAGTGCACCTGGCACAGAGGTTTCTAGAGATTTAGTGTGATTGTCACCTGTACTCCACCCCTGCCACTGAGATTCAACTCCCATAGTCTTCCCTCCTTTGTAGACCAGGAATTGGGATGGGGGGAGAGTGGAAGGATGGCTGCCACCATCTGGGTGCCTGCAGGCAGCTTCCAGGCTCTGGGGACTGGAGTAGCCTGCTCTTTGCAATGCCTTGACAAAAAAAAGAGTCTCTATGCCTCTGGGAACCACATGGCGTTTTCATTCATTCATTCAACACCCTTTTTCTGAGCACCTTCACCATGCCAAGCCCTGTGGTGCGTGAGATGGGCCTGTTCCCTTCCTGAGAGAACTCACTGTCTTCTCCTCCTGGGCTCAGCAGGCTACTAACTTTGCACACTTGATTTTGGAAGGGGAGGTGAATGGCCCCCCCCCGTTGTCATTGGCTAGAGGAAAACAAAGATTCTTGGAACTCTGTACTGTGGGAAAACTTGGAAGGAACAGATAGACAGATCGAGGGATCCACAACTCAGCTTCAATATTTTATTCTACAAATATGTGGGGCACTAGGATCTAGGAGGCTGCTCTGAGGGAGCCACTGACTAGTAGGACTGTGCACATAGTCAGCCATCCTGAGGTCCTGAGTGGCCAGGAGGCAAATGGAGCATCAACCTGGACTGAGATAGGAAGGGGAAGGAGTTCAAGGCTGAACTCCAGAACACCAGCCAGATAGACAGACAACAGCAGGGAATTCCACTAGAAGGAACCACTATGCAATATGCCCAGGTAAGAGAACTTGGCAAGTTCTAGAAACCAAAAAGAGCTTTAATTGGATTAAGAGCACTTAAGACCCTGGCAGGCTTTTCTCACCCTTTTGCTATCTGAGGTTACAAATGATTTAGGGTTTTGGTTTTTTGTTGTTGTTGTTGTTGTTGTTGTTTGAGACTCAGTCTACCCATGTAGACTACCGGAGGTATGATGAGGCAAAGAATGCATGGCTGTACTGATGTGGCTTCTGGCGCAACAGATGTTCAATAAATTTAAGAGGCTTAGGTCTGCTGGCCAGAGAGACTGATTCCTGACCAGCAGCAGAGGAGGGGCTTGGTTCTGGGTGCCCGGACTTGGTTAGAGGAAATTTTTTTTTTTTTGCAGTCCTAGAGTTTGAACTGAGAGCTTCACTCTGTGGCTTGAGCCATGTCTCCAGCCCTTTGAGGGATATTTTTATTAACAGCACTTCAAGGTAAGCCGGGATGGAAACCAGATGTAGGATTGCATAGTCGGCAGGGAGCAAGGACCAGAGACACCAAGGAGTGGGGTGGAGTAAGGATCAGCCCAGATGAGGTTGGAGGTAGATACACAACCCCCAGATATTTTCTCTGGGTACCTTAGGTGCAGAGAGTCAATGTCCCATGCTAGTGCTCAGAACACTCAGGTCCTCTCATTTTACTTCACACTTTCACCTCTCTCCTCACTTTCACCTTCCCAATCCATGGATTTTCCCTGTGGCTTAAGGAGGACTGCTCAAAGTGGTCTTCCATCTGAGTCATTCATCAGCTGGAGATCTATTTTCTCTTTGAGTTTTTGTTGGCTCCACCCTCCCATGGAGGGTTTCTGCATGGGTTCCAAGGAGGTCTCACTGTATGACCTCAGCCAGGTGTCTCCACCTCGCTGAGCTTTGGTTTGCTCATTGGAAAATTGGAGACCCCAATCTTTACCACTTACTGTTGTGAGATGCAGTTGATGCTTAACCATGTGGAAGGGGCTTGGCAGGCAGTAGAAGTTCTTTTCCCGTGCTGTGTGGTGGTCCAGGGGTCCAGCAGCCCAGAGGAAAATCACAGCTCATCACTCCTGTAATCCCAGCACTCCAGAGGTGGAGGTAGGAGGATCATCAGTTCGAGGCCAGCTTGGGCTACCTAGTGAGACCCTGTTTCAAAGAAAAACAAAAACAAAAAATCCAAGCTTTTTGTTTTACAGTGGGGGCAATGAGGCCAGGGAGACTGGAAACTTCCTCACCCTCACCCCTAGCAATTGCAGGTGACAGACCAACAATCAGGCAAGACCAGAGGTCTGGGGACTCCTTACTCTCACCCTGGCCTGCCAGAAAACCCAGTAGGCTGGGCCTGGAGGAAGGAGAAGTGAGCAGTACTCTAGAGGGTCCCCGCAGGGGGTGATGGAACACAGACACCCCAACACCCCAGCCCAGCGCCCTTACAGGGCAGATAAATAGTTAACAAGACAAGAAAGTGGCCACATACAGGATGACAACAGCGCGCGCGCGCGCGCGCGTGTGTGTGTGTGTGTGTGTGTGTGTGTGTGTGTGTGTGAGAGAGAGAGAGAGAGAGAGAGAGAGGATTTCAAGGAGAAACCAGGAATTGGGAGCCCAGATTGGAAACCAAGGAAAAGATACCAGAAGACGTGCCACCAAGTTCCAGCCCGGCACCCAAACCACTCTGCCTGTACTCCCTCCGACTCTGAATGTCAAAACCTGTTAAGGTTGTTTTCTTTCTCTTTTTTAACCTGTCATTAAAATTTTCATTCCCCCCACCCTAGGCCAAAGTTCTAACCCAGCGCCCATTCTCAGCCAAGAGTCGGGAGCCCTGGGGGTCCTAGCACCAGCAAACCCCTGCCTAGAATCCAAAGGTTCTCCGGTGCATCTCCTTAAGAGAGAAAAGGAGGGGCAAGGAGGATGGAAGGAGAGTAGGGAGAGAGGAGGGGAAAAAGGAGGGGCGCAGGAAGGAGCAAGTCAGAGAAAAAAAATCACTTTTTTTTTCCTGTCTCAAAACCTTAAGAGGGTTTCGGAGATCTGGTCAACTTTTCGAAACATCTGAATCTTTTTACAGCTCTTGGTCTTTCCCGGGCCAGCTGTGGGGAGGGAGGGAGAGGGAGAGAGATAGGAGAGAGAGAGGAAGAGGGAGAGAGAGAGAGAGAGAGAGAGAGAGAGAGAGAGAGAGAGAGAGAGAGATTCAGGAGGCGTGGAGGGGAAGAGAGGGAGGGGAGGGAGGAGGGAGACAGCGAGCAGGCCAGGCGGGCGTGGAGAGCAGTACCACCGCCTCCTCGCCTCTCCAAACTCTGGGCCAAGGCGCGCGGTGGCGTCCTCGCGCCCTCGCCCGCGCCCCCGCCCGTCGCCGGCGCAGGCCAGGCATGAATGCTGAGACTTGCGTCTCTTACTGCGAGTCGCCGGCCGCTGCCATGGACGCCTACTACAGCCCGGTGTCGCAGAGCCGGGAAGGTTCATCGCCTTTTAGGGGATTCCCTGGCGGGGACAAGTTCGGCACAACTTTCCTGACGGCCGCAGCCAAAGGGCAGGGATTCGGGGACGCCAAGAGCCGGGCCCGCTACGGCGCCGGGCAGCAGGACCTGGCTGCACCCTTGGAGAGTGGCGCCGGGGCGCGGGGCTCCTTTAACAAGTTCCAGCCCCAGCCTCCGACCCCGCAGCCCCAGCCGCCGCCGCCGCCGCAGCCGCCCGCGCAGCAACCGCATCTGTACTTGCAGCGGGGCGCCTGCAAGACACCCCCGGACGGCAACCTCAAACTCCAGGAAGGCAGCAGCGGCCACAACGCGGCCTTGCAGGTCCCCTGCTACGGTGAGTGCACGTGCGGGTCATCGGGGGCTGAGGACTTCGGGGTCCGCGGTTTCGGCACCCCAGAAACCCACTCGACTTGTGGAAGGCAGAAGTGGGAGGGCTTGGGGAGCTCAGGGCGAGCGGTGGGTGACTCTGGGTCGGAAAATGAGGATCGACTGCTTCCAGGGGGTCAAGGGATCCCTTGGCCCAGGTCACAGAGCGCTCTTGCCATTTTTCCCGGTGTCTTCGCCGTCTGCCCAAAACCGCTCGCTTTTGCGCTGCCCGAGGGGTGGGAAGCTTCGCCCCGGCTCCCGGCGTGCGGCTAGAAGGAGCCGCGGCGCAGCGCGGGGGCGCGGGGCGCGGGGCTGCCTAGGACTCGCCCACGCCAGCCTGGAGGCTCCTTGCGCCGCGCCACAGGTAAGAGTGTCGCAGGTGCGAGCCCGGCCGTGGGCCCGAGAGCGGTCCGCCGGGCGAGCATCGGGCCCCGCGGCTCAGCGCTGCGACACAAGTGCGGCTCGGGAAGCCGGGGACCCAGAAAACCCGAGTCCTAGGCCCGAAGCTCCGCTCGCAGAGGGAACGCTGGCCAGCCAGGGTTCTCGGCTCTTCTTCCCCGGCGGTCTCTGGAAGAAGCCGGCCTGGAAACAATGGTTTACGACGACGGGGCGGGAAAGCAGGAAGCCAAGGAGAACGCGACAGCGCTGGGCTTGGGGAAGAGGGAAGGGTCCAGATCCTGATTTGGCCCCACAGGGAACCCGAGGGAGCTGGCCTAAATGACCTCCAAGCCCCCTTGAACGTCATGGCAGGGCGCAGGCCTGGGTCCTCAGAGCGCAGCAACCACTGCAGTGGAGAGAGCCTGTCAAGAGGTTAGGCCTTTCCTTCCTCCACAGAATCTGGGATTGGGGGCAGTGGTTCCCCCAGCCCCAAACTGGAAGTAGGAGAGGTACCTTCTTCGGCCAGGAGCCCTGGGTGCACACTGTCCCCCCTGGCCTTGGCCTTCAGGCAGGTCCCTAGTGAGATGAGCTGGTCCTTGACAGGGCAATGAATTTGGCTGGATGTCCAGGCACTAGGCCTGGGGACAGAGGTGGAACATGGTGGAGGGCTTGGTGGCTGGAATGACCTTAGGAAAACACATACTTTCTTATATCAAACTTGCTGTCACAGGCTTAGAACAAGTTCATAGGTTCTCATAGGTTTTGGACACACAAATATTCATACAGTCATATCTACACTTAAGTTCTACACACACACACACACACACACACACACACCTCTTTATGATCTAACATGGTCACACCAGGTACAAACTTGTGTGGCCTCAAACAAGTCACACATTCCCAAACCCACAAAGCAGGTTCTGAAAGCTCTGGAAGTCTTTTCCCACCTCCACCTTTTTTCTCCTCCTCCCCCTTTTCTCTCCACCTCCACTGAAATGAGGTCAGGGACTCAGACTGAAGACACCCATAACTCCATAAAGGTTGTCCTTCTATACCCAGGGCCAGGAAGCCAGGTATGTCATCCCAACTATTAGATGAGAACAGGTCCCAGACTGGGGGACCCCCGAGAGTCACTGTTGAAAGCCAAGGGCTTGGGTGTTATCGCTCCCATTGTACTGCATTTTCATATGTTAAAGCAATTCCCAGTGAGGCCTCCAAGGAAGCAGAGATATTACTGGAGAAAAGAGCCAGGTAGCTCCCAAGCTCCTGGTGAGATGTCCTGGGGCCAGAGGAGGAGCTGGGTCCCTCCTGCCCTGCTAGGTCCTAGAGGCCAGTCTGGCCCTTCCAATACTTGCTTTAGCCATCGAGGGTTGAGGGAAAGGATCAGCTACTTGACCTGGGCTGCCCCTAACCTACAGTGTGACCCGACAGAGAGCACTAAACTCCCATTTCCTTATTGGTGTCTGGGCAGTAATAGAAAGGCCTCACTGGGTCGTAAATGTTCCCCAGGGAGCTCCCTCTGCCACATTTCCATCCCTTCCATCTCTGTGATTTGGAGTGGCCAATTCTGAGTGTGCTGGGCAGGCTCCTGCTGCTGCTTTGCTCTGGCAAAGTCGTAAGCTACAGATCGGGAGAAAAGGCAGTCCCTAACCCTGACAGAACCCAACTGGCCTGCTGCTCAGGGCAAAGCTGACCGAGGACAAATTTCTCTGTCCTTTCTCCTGTCAGCAACTGAGTTTCCCCGGCACCCAGGGGATTTCTGATCCTTATGAGAAAGGGATTGGGCACATTGAGAGACAGAGGCAAGGCTCTGACCTTCTACAGAGGTAGCTAGGAGGAGGGCCTCTGGAGATGGTTCTCCAATCTGCCAGCAAGCAGGGAAACCGAGGCACACACTGACAACAATTCTGAGAGTGTGTATTCAAAGAGGGGGGAGGGAATGGGGTTTGAGGGGAAATCCTAGGATGTTCCCTGGAGCTTGGGAAAAGACTAGGCAGAGGCAGAGTCGCCCTTGGCCCTGGGCCTGGCCTTGGCTGATATGGATCCCCAGCACAGTTCGGTTAGACCTCACAACTCATCCCAGCTTTGGGGGTCCCGGCCTCAGAACAGTTCCGATTGGAGGGGAGGCCCTGATGCCTGGGTTTTAGTACCACTACCATCACCCAGGCGCACATCGGGAGGAAGGTGCGAGCCTGGGGGCCGCAGCAGGACCAAGCCGAGGGAGTGCGGACAGGGAACTCTCTGGACCTGATCTTTTCTGTGTTGCCTAAAGTGGAGAGAGAAACTCTTCGTGGCTGCAGGCGTCCTTACCCCATCCGAGACCTTTCCCTCTAGTGCAGGGACACTGGCGTTTTAAGGAAAGAACCCCACCTATCCCTTGCATAGCGCACCCGGGACCTGGTCGAGCTCCTTGTCCCCCACTCCGGCGTCTCCAAGTGTCAGCCCGAGCTCAGGGCGGGCCACTTGGGCTGCTCCAGCTGCGCCTGGTTGAAGACCGACGTTTCCCTGCGGTGCGAAGGAAGAGCCTCCTTGTCCCCGCGATGGGAACTGCGGCGCGTCGCCTCCAAACCCTCCGCGGGAGTCGCCGCCGGCCTAACGGGCCTTGCGGGTGCGGCCGGTGCGGTGCGGCTGCGGGGAGCGGCCCTACCACCTCCTCTTTCGCTTTCGATTTGGTGCGGCAGGTTTTCGCTGCGAGCAGATTCCTACCTCCACATCCACCCGCTCGGAAGGCAGCGCTCTCAGCGCCCGGATCAGGGACACCGGGCCGGGCCGGAGCCCCTTGAGGCGCCGCCGAGGGGTGCGTCCTGATTTTTTTCGAAGTAGACTCAATGTTTAAGTGCTAGAGATATTTATTTCCCCCACACCGAAACAATCCACACACCATCAAATGTGTAAACTCCGCCAGGGTCATATTTGAATTTAGCCAAAGAACGAAGTTTTTTTTTTTTTTTTTGGAGAGAAACCCCAAAAGACTGGAGACACGGAGGGAGTTTTGGGTGATTGTAAGAAAATCAGGGAAAACTCGAACCTGGACGCTGAAGGCTGGTCGTGAAGCCAGCAACCCCGGTCAGTTTTCCAGGGAAAAGGAAGATGCTTTTCTTTTTCCCTTGTTAATTTCCGTAACTACCAGCCTGCTCAAACAATTTGACCTAACACACACGTTCTTCACTACAGGAACAGAAGGCTTGGGTTAAAAGCCTAGTATTATTTTCAATCAATTGACTTGCAGAAATCTTTTTATAATTTACATAAAGTGGGGTACAAGCTCTTCGAAGATTTTTTAGGAACGTCTCCGTTGGTATAACTACCACCTGGTTCAAGGTAAGGACTATTTACGTGTTGAATATGTGCACGGAAACTTTAGAGGAAAAACCATTTTTGTAAACTGTTTTAAGGAAATTCCAGGAAATATTTCGGAGCGCCCGGGACCGCTTTTTCTCACGGTAGTGTTTCTTGGGAAGGATGACCTTACACGCCGGGGCGTTTGCCGTTATTCCAAGAGCCGGGGAGGTCATCGCCAGATTATCCCGGAGCGATCGAAGCCCGGAGCCTGCGATTTCGAGATGCAGTTTGGGTCCTCAGGAGGAAAATTAAGTAAAAATATCCTACCTAAAATCTCCCCAAGGTCCCCGAGGGCTTCAGTTTCAAAGACCAGCTGGGCGCACTTTTCCGGGGACGTGCAAACTTTCCCTTTCTTCTCCAAGGTTTGGTTTGCGGCTTTGTTTGCAAGGTCGGTTGAAACAGGAAACGGGAAGATACCGGCCTCTGCTGCTGCGGGGCGTGAGAGAAGTTGAGCATCTGGCGCGCTTGACCTGGGTTGGGGCTTCTCCGCTGGCCCCTGGAACCCAGGGCTCCAGGCAGCAGGCTTGGGAGAGCAAGGCGTAGCTGGCCGAGCCCCGCGGCTCTGTGGGCACGGGATGGCGAGCAGGGAGGCCGCGCCCTAGCCTGCGCTTCTCAATGCATCGACAGGCAGGGGAGAGTGCTAGGAGGGAGGGCTCCGGGCCCCAGCGCATTAGCGATCTCTGCCCAGAAGACCTCTGTTCTGGAAGCCGAAGCGCGTAGGCCCAGACACCATTTGGGGTGGAGCAGTGAGAGTGCTCTATAGTGTCGGGACCTCGCCTACGGAGCGCGACACCTGGCCACGTGCGCCTGCAGCCGCGCGGTTCCAGGAATGGTAAGCGGCTTTGCGCTCCCGTCATGGAGGAAACGAGGAGTCATCAGTTTGGAAACCATCAGTGCTTAGACCCCTCTGAGTGATTATCCCGTCCAGCGAATCCAGAGTGGAAGCTAAGGGTGTCCCCACCCTAAGGCATTACAAGGCCATGGCTGCTTGGGCTGCGGCGCCACTAGACAAGGGAGAAGAGGCCCTTGGGGGTCTAGGAATCTCCTCACTCATGGCCAGCAAGCCCAGCCACAGCAGGGATCGGCGGTTTCTTCTCTGAGATCAGTTACTGGTGGCCTCCGGGGATCGCCCCTCCAGAGGCGCACCCCAGTTCAGAGGTGCAGAAGAGCCTGGAGGCAGCAACTGTCAGGCTGCCCCAAGCCAGTCTCCCCAGAAAGATTGACAAAATTCAGTGGTACATAGAA